CCCAGGGATGCACAACATCCTAAACTATATGTACATATTTTAATTGGAGGCATTACTGTAATCCCCTTGCTTTAAAGGCACTTTAAGTAAAAATTGGCACTACTTACCCCACTCTCCCCTACATTGATAAGATCTTTGAAAAAACTATTCCACCTGTTAGGCTTACTGTATAGCTAATCGTTCCGAAAGTTTTACTAGTTTCAGTGGTTTTGAGACATTTAAATGAAGAAAACGTACCGTAGGATAAAGTTAGCCGTTAATCTATAGGAAAAAAAAGAGGGAAACCTTGTAGTAGCCACGGTGAAGAACAGCAGACAGCCGACTGAGAGACTCTGCTCCGAAACGGTTGTGAAAGACGCTGTCGATGTCCATCATATAAAGATAGTCTGTTTCCTTACGGATCTGCAAACATAACAGTGTAAATGTGAGACTGAATGCATCATGGATAGATTTTTATGACTGATGAATAATAATAATTTAGGGAACTATTTGTGTATGCATATCTGTGAGAGATGGCACTGGAGTTACTTGCTGTTTCTAGCTCATATATCAATTTGTTTTAGTTTTTAGGTCTGTTGTATTGTCTAACTAGTACAGCTGTCAATATTCAACAGCATTGGTTACTGTAACCAACCAGATGAAAAAGGCACTAGCTTTGGTGATTTGTTGTGCCTATGTTGTACATTTAATTTCTTACCTGGTTGTCAATGGTGATGGTGGCCCATTTCATCCTGCCCAGTACTACTTCCTGCCAGCGATTGACTCCAGGGATGGGGACAACTGCGACATTTCGGCCCCTACCTAGTTTAATCTGACAAATAAAGAAAACAGATAACTTGTTTACATGTTTGCATTTATTTTTGGTTTGGTATATTTAGAAGAATTGTTAGTAAAAAATAAAAAGTGTTATTCTTGATCTAAAAATAGGGTTATTTTGATATCCACAAGGCTCACCTTTAAAGACATCCTCACTTTATGCTAATCCTTTGGGCTATTAGGTTGATCTTATCAAGTTTCAAACGTTTTTGATCGTAGATCTGCATTGCATGACTTTTTCTATATTATTCCTGTTATAGTGTTAATGGTTGGGTTGTATATTGGAGGTATTTTTGACTTGTTTTATCCTCTCGTGTTGTTAAAACATTTCCATATAGTACCAAATATGTGTTACATATGGTAACAACCCAAAATGTCTGCAACAACTCCTAAGACTCAATTCCTTTTCACGGTATAATGTATGTTGCAAAATCTAGCAGACATTGGATTTTGGGAAGTTCTTCTGTCCCTTTTCTCGGAGAACTCATCAGCTTTTCGCTCCTTTTATGAACTATAAAATATTTTTTTCAAATCTGATTCAAACTCAATGCACACAACATCCTGATATACCATACCTTTTCATTTTTATTTGCTTTTAAAAGAATAAGCAATCCATATAAGAGAGTATAATCATTATATTTTAGACTTCAATTCTCAATGGGTTTAGCTGCCGGGCAATGCAGAGAATAACTTTAAACATATTAATAAACAACAACTTACTTTGGGGACCTCTTTTTCGTTGTCTGTGAAGATGTAATAAGTGACCCTGAAGTCAACAAGAAAATACTTTTCGGCCGACTCAAGGAAGCCCTTCAAGAAACGTGTGTATCTGGATGAAAAAAGAGCATGCTAGAAGTGTTAACAATTAATATAAGACAAGATCAGCGACACAAGACCCATCATTATATCAAAGCGTATGGGAGTATTTATGTGAAACAGCTTTACTTTTTCAGGTTTACAAGAATCTTTATATCAACTCAGGTCTGCTCCCTTTGAGAATATCCTGTGAACCTACTTGCCAACAGCAAACACCAACACAGCCACTCGTGGGTCCATTTTCTTGTATATAGCATCGATAACCACTGGATCAAAGGTCCCCTCCCAAACCAGAGGAGCATTCCAGTTTGTGACTGCGTTCACATCTGTGCGTCTGGGAAGATCAAATAAAGATTTAGACATTTTCAGATATTGGTCCAGCTATGATCAGTGGTTTTGGGTCTGTATGATATATTCAATATTTAATGTTGTTAAATATGTTGCATAAGCTGATACCAAATAATATACTGACTTTTCTTTTCAGCATTATGCACATTTCTCTACAACACATGCCAAGTTAAGTGTGTCCTGACCAGCAGACTCCACTGAAGTTTATACTGCATCCTTAAACACACTTAAAAATAATCATTGTTCTTTGAATCATCTAACCTCTAAAAGATGTTGTACATATTATGAATTATATTATTCACAAATGTATAGGGACACTAGATTGCTTAATTACTTACTTACATTAAGGTGAAGTCCATTCTATACATGTTTTTATAAGAGTGAAATCCATTATTGTAAACAAACAGACTATGTTTACACTTTACACGGCAAAAAATTGCGATATCTGTTTTAAATAACTTACCCTTTCAGTGTGCTTGGCTGAGCATATTTCAGTCTAAAAAAAAGAGCAACGAAATGTATCTTTAGTATTCGAAATAGAAATTGAGGGGTAAAAAGAGTCTTAAAACAAGATAGCAGTACAGAAAATACATCAAGTATCAGTTAGTACATCAACGTATTGTATACACCAAGTATTGTTCCACAATAAGTACAATGTTGAGGTTCTTTAACTGAGTATTTTCATTTTATGATACTTTACCCTTACTCCACTTCAGTTTGACAATACTGTTATTTTCCTGCTTACTATTTATTAGACAGCTTTTGTTAGTTATTTCTTGATTATTAGTTCATACAAAATATAAATAAAATAGTACAAATATACCTATTCATATAATTACAATTTCAAATATCCAGCAGCAGTATACAATGTAATTCAAAATGCCCTTTTCCAACTTTGATGGACCCATTGATGCAGCAATATTCATAATCAAGTAATTTCATATGATTCTAAAATGGGCCATTATAATGAACAATTCTTCATATTTGTATTTATATACAGTGGGGCAAAAAAGTATTTAGTCAGTGTAACGACGAGACGCCGTTACTAGAGCTCACATGGACATGTTTATATAGGCTAATCATTGTTTTAATAGGTATATTGACGACAACTTGCCCTTTCCCCATGTCTGTTGCTGATTGTGTGCACCTGGTGCCCTGTGTTGTCTCCTCCCCCCTCACCTGTGTCTAATTGCTCCCCCCTCACCTGTGTCTTGTTAGTCTGTGTGTATATTTAGGTGCTGTGTCTTGTGAGGCTGGTAGTGTGTGTGAGATCCTGGTGCCTGCAGGCTGTGCTCAATGAAACCACAGCAGGATTGAGGCTGTGTGTCATATCATGTGTATGGTGTAATAAATGCCCACACCGGGTTATATTTTTGAACGTTCTGCCTCTGCCTCCTTGCTTGGTCGGGCCGCTCAACGGTCAGTCTCACAGTGACCCAAGACAATCTTCCAATAGAAAGAGCCCTAGGGATACAGTGGCATGTGGAGGAAGATGTTTTCAAATTTCAAGTCTGCTTAAAATCTCAACCAGCCACAAGGAGAGGCATCCTTTCAACAGTCTGCTCTGTGTATGACCCACTTGGATTTCTTTCACCATTTATCTTCACTGCAAAGCATGTCCTAAGAGTTGTGCAAACTCAATTGTGGGTGGGACGAAGAAATCCCGGAGGCTCTCAAGAAACAGTGGCAAAGATGGCTCATGGGATTAAAGCAGATAGAATGCTTCAAGATTGATCGATGTTTCAAACCAAAGAATTATGGAAGAATTAAATCTGCACAAGTGCACCATTTCAGTGATGCAAGTGAGATTGGATACGGTGTTGTCACCTACCTTAAGATGACAAATGAAGATGAAGACGTTCACATATCCCTCATGTCAGGAAAGTCACGTGTCATGCCTCTGAAAAAAGTCACTGTCCCAAGATTGGAGCTCACAGCAGCAGTACTGGCAGTACGCATGGACAAGATGATCAGAACCGAGCTGCAAATCCCATTATGCAAATCTGTCTTCTGGACTGAAGTACATCTGTTCTGAGATACATCATGAATGAAACGCTAAGGTTTCAGACATTTGTAGCCAACAGAATAAGTCTGATCAGAGAAGCAACAGCAACATCACAGTGGAAATACATCAACACTAAACTGAATCCAGCAGATTATGCATCTCGGGGATTGGCAGCAGAATCTTTCTTGAAATGTGAGACTTGGATAAATGGTCCATTGTTTCTGAAAAAACCTGAGGACAAATGGCCTGAGTTTCCGGACGCACTTAAACTGGTCAATGACAGCTATCCTGATGATCCAGAGGTGAAGAAGGAAAAATTCAACGTGAACCCAACCATTGCAACTGACCTAAATGGCACAAGCAAGATAGTGCATCACTACTCTGATTGGAGGAAACTGAAAAGAGCAGTTACATGTAAAGTAAAACATATCTTGCTGCTTTTAAGTAAGAAGAGGAAGTAAGTACTTACTTCTACTCAAGCACAAGAACCAAATCGAATAAAGCTGATTGATAAGGACATGAGAGCATTTAAAGACTCTATGAGAGGTCTCACACTCTCTAAGGATAACTTGGATAAGGCTGAAGCAGCAGTGTTGTGTTTCTGTCAAAAACAGTCACAGCAGCTGATCGTCCGAGGCTTTTTTAATAAGCCCAGTAATTGTGATGGTGTGGATAAACGAGGTGAAAAAAGAGGGATTGATGCGGTGGAGGATGAAGGACAAGCCAGTAAGACTAAAACCACTGTTCAAAATGGGGGGGAGCTTGGCTCCCCTAAAGAGGGGGGGAGCTCCCCTGAAGGCAGACTTTGAGATAAATAGGGGGAGCCCAAAATACTTGTGCATATTTGTGTCACACAGATTAGAAATGTTGAGTTTCTGTAAATAAAAGTTATTGAAATAAATAATAGTCATCGTTCATTACAGTTTCTGAATATGTGTTTCATATTTGTGAATATGTCTTGGTGTTACCATCTGTACGTGGCGGCGCTGCATTCTTTACGCTACTTACGTTACTACAGATGTAGCACTCCAGATAGGACTCACATGGGTGTGTCCCAGTCAAAAGCCCAGCGGATCCCAGTGGCTGGGGGTGTTGCCAAATTGCTAGAGGGCGTTGCCAAATTTCCCCATTTGTTCAATTACAGGATTTAACCATGAGATGGCGCTTCATTCACAAATACACAAAGACAACTGGGTGTTGTAGAACTTATTCTGTTTGCAATGTTTGCAGCTCTGCAGTTGTGTTTGTTGAATACTGTAGCATTTAATCACTTATTTGTTATGGTTTTCACAGGCTACTATAATGAAAAAACATCAATATTTTAGATCAAATAAAGTATATAGTTTGCTCAAATAAAGTATATAGTTTTGTAATATTGTTGGGGTGTTTTTACACAGTACAGTATATTGAAGTAAATCAATGTATACATTAAGATAAGATAAGATGGACCTTTATTAATCCCCGTGGGGAAATTCAGTAGTTCAAACAGCAACAGGGTAAGAGTGAAAAACAGGATAGCACAGATTCACACAGATTAATAAAATCAAAAATAAGATGAGCGATAAAAATAATAATAATGAGAAA